ATGTGCTCTCTTCCTCTTGTTGCTTCTGCTGGGCACCATCGCCACCATCATTTTCTTCTGCTGCTGGCACCGCAAGCTCCAGAAAGGGAGACATCCGATGAAATCGGTCTTTTCGGGTCGTTCCAGAAGCAGAGGTGAGACACGCCACCACTGGCTTCTTCTGGGCAGAAGCGAGGTTGAAGCCTCCTCTGCCGTCCCTACCCCCTTCATTGCCCACTCCTCAAGCTATGTGCATTTATTTATTTAACGCTCCTTGGCCTTTTGCCCTCGAGTCCGTCCAAAGATCACCAGGGTTTGGATAACCACGAAGATTCGGAGGTGCTGGGAGGAAGTATCAGACTCGATCCTTAGGGTCAGTTTGCTAAATTTTTAGCCCAGAAGGTAATTGTAGTGGAATCCTGGGCTGAGGCACTCTTCCCTTTACACAACCTTTGCTGGAGCTTGGAGATGTAAAAAGAAAAAAAAAAAAAAGTAAGGCGTGATAATTTGGGGGCTCCCTTCCCAACTTTGCTGGAACTTCTTGCAGAGAAATCACCTTAGAGACACCCATACTCTCTCCACCCTGCCCCAGTATGCGCACCGAATTGGAGAGAGACATCTAGAATGTGCTTTCCCGAATCCAGGTAAATGATCAGCAACTCAGCAGGCTGAGAACAAGGAGTTAATGAAGTCTCGTTTTCCCTCTTTTCTCCCCAGATGCTGTTCTGAGATCTCATCACTTTCGCTCTGAGGTAATTTATTTAGTGCACTGTCAAGGTCAGAGGTAGCATTCTTTCCTGAGTACCAGTATTAATCACGTGCGTGTTAAGAAGCCGGTAGGACACCGGATGGGAAGCTTGCAGACCCTGAGTCCAAACTGGCATGCTTCTTTCTAAGCAATTCCACAGTGATGCCCAGGGAACGTTCTAACAGATTTTGTGTGTGTGGAGTTCTGTCTGGAGTCTGCTTCCCAAGAGGTGGGAGGGGCAGACCCTGAAAGTGCAGCAGGCCTTAGAGAACTTAACCAGGGAATGGCTATCAGTTTAGCGTACAGTCTGTATCTATGGTGGAAGCCCTTCCGGGTGCTCACCGAGGTCGGTGGTTGTGCACTCAGATAAAGCACAAGGTAAAACTGTTGGGACCTTAGCGCAGACCAGGTTAAGCCGCATGCATTCCAGCTGGGACTCCAGGTGACATTCCTGCTAGCTTAGAAAGCTATCCACGACGGTATTTAGGACACGGAAGTGGTGCTGATGAAGACACAGCAGAGAGTATGTAGCTGATATGTGCGCTAGACTATCCTGTGGACATTGTAGGTGAGACTGAAGGAGGACCAGCTGCAGTTAGAGCAAGCTACAAGCGCTGCCTGACCCATCGGATTTCTTTAGTTTCGGGCTGCTCAGTTATAGAAAGACAATGTTCTTTCTTTGGGGGAAAGCTGTACAGACCGGGGCCTGGAGGCTGCTTTGTGATACAGCTTATTCACTTCCGCAAAGGATTGTGTGTATCCCCTCTCCTGCAAGCTCCTTATTGACCTGAAGCTACTCCACATCTTGTTTTGCTTGTTCATTGGAGGTTGCATCGCATCCCGGGTTGTGATTGTTTAAACTTACCTGCATTATCATAACGTTATTATGTTGCATACTGAGTGATTCTGTTGGGTGTGCCCTACAAGTGAGAACCCTGTGCTAGTTAAGATTTGTGAGAAAATAACTTGTCAACAGTCAGCCTGTATCAAGTTTTATACTAACTAGCTGTATATGTGGTAGGGGAAAAACAGTTTTGCCATCTGTAAAACAGGGCCAGCAGTCTCTGCAGGGCTAAATGTGGAAAATTATTTTCAAAATTATGTAAAAAATAATTAGTGCATTGGAGGTATTTAGTTTTGGGTAACCGTCATACATTTTGCAGAATTGAATTGAAAATTGTCAGGTGTGGTGGCACACGCCTTTAATTTTACTTAACACTCAGAGACAGAGGCAGGGGATCTAGATGAGTTTGGTGGCCAGCCTGGTTTGCATAGCGAATTCCAGAACAGCCAGGGCTACATTACTACATTTGTGAGACCCTGTTTTTTTTTTTTTTTTTTTGGAAGAAAAGAAGAGAAAGAAAAAGAAAAATATATGAAAATCAAGATATGTCTGTAATGAAGACATGTGATTTTCTTTAGAAAATTAGGTCAGCTTTATGGACCACAGCATGAACTGGGTCTGTTGTGAAACAGTTCTTGAATTAATTAAGAATTAATTAATTAAGTAGAATAATTCATTTAGATGCAGCAAACAGTAAAGAGTGGGCAGTGTGCAAGCATTAAGGAGTAGGGGACTGACTTGGGAAAGAGTCACCAGTTCCGTGGACATACATGACAGTGGAGCAAGGCTGCTGGGACCGAGCCTCAGGCAATTCTAGCTCAAGCGCCCGGGGAACATGTGGCATGTGGTTATGTCTTTGTGTTTTTGTCAGCTCAAATTTTGTCTTGGGCTTGTGCTGGTTAAGAAGTCTGGGAATAGCTGTTCATTGCCTTATCTTGCTCTGTAAGACTGCTAGTACAGTTGAAATCTCTGTGTATACTTGTTGCTTGCATTATGTGTTAGCCTGTGAGTTCCTGAGGGCAGAGCTGAGCTCTCCTGTGATGCCACTGCCTGGCTCAGTGCCTCACTTAGAATGGGTTCTTAATCAATGTTTATGGGATGAATGAGAGCAGTCTCTGGGTGGGCAAATAGAACTCCAGGAGAGAAAAAAGCATTCTTGGAACATGGCTTAGAATTTAGCAGTGCTAAATTTGCCTTATTTACCTTTCCCAGGATTTTCAATTAGAATTTTATTTATTTATCTATTAAAATAGGGTCTCACTGTGCATCATTGGCTGTTCTGGGACTCACTATGTAGATCAGGCTGATCTCGAACTCACAGAGATTTGCCTTTCCCTGTTTCTTGAGTGACTGGCTTTTTCCAGTTCTTTAAAAATTACTTTTGTGTTCGTAGTAAAATTTAAGGTACTCATTGTAACAAAAAGATTCTGTTGGGATTTCTTTTTTCCCCCAATAAAATAAAATGTAAAATCAGCTTAATTTGTTGATGGGCTGTGCATGGTAACTAAGCAAGGAATGTCATTTGATATGTGGAAGTTCGTAGACTGTGTTGCACAAGAATGTCATATTTCGTCACTGTCTTCTGTTTACCACAAACAGAGCATTTCCCTTTAAGCCAAACACAGGATATATTTTCTTCTCCCTCTTAGAACATTATTTCTTCCAAGATTTTTCTCCTTAAAGAAGAACTCCACATTTACTTGGATTTAATAAGTTAGAGTGGACACAATGAATATTTATTCCTGCTGCTTTTGTTTTTATTAGCAGCTGCTGCAAAATTTTATTATCAAAGCCAATTCTTTGCTTTGCTGGCAAGTTCTAATCACATTGGGGTTAGTTTCTAGTGCTTGCTGTTCTCCTTTCCAATCTTAGTAAGTGGATATAATTCACTTTCAGCATTTCTGTCCTGGTCAAATGAGAAACATGATGTAGGATGTGCTGACTCACTTTGAAACCTGAACAGGCTGTGACAGAATACTGGAATTGGCGAAGTTTGGGAAACATTTTGCTGTTTCATCTGGCACTTACCAGCTTCTACCACTTATGCCTCCGGGGAGGAGTCAGCGTGGATGGGGAATTTTGAGGTGTTCTATCCGAGGTGACCAGAATAATAAGGAGAAAACACGGCCTTGAGGCTCTGCCGAAGAGATGAAGGCAGCCCCCAAATCTCTTTCTCCTCATCTGTGTTTACTGGCACATTTCTTCAATCCAAGCTCTTTGTGAGAAACTAGAAGTCAGCAGTACGAATGTTCATGCGGCGCGTTAGGTCCGTAGTCACCACCAGCACTTCCTTTGCAGATACGTGCAAAGTTACAAGCTTTTTAACAACCCTTTAAATTTTAATAACAGCATATGAGAAAGTGAAATTAACCACTCTAGCAACGTCTATGCAGTTTTACCCGACCTTAGAAACTATAGATGGAAAGTTCAGTTAGGTAGAAATATGTGTATTGTTTGCTCTTAAAAACTTGCCCTGTGTGTGTATGTGTGTATGTGTGTGTGTGATTTCATTGTAAACTGTTAGTGGGTTTCCCATTGATGTAGGACAGTCTAGAAACCATGTGTGCCTCCTGTTTTCCAGCCGTCTGGCACTTCCGAAGTGCACTTTCCCAAAGACTTCCAGTGTTTTGCGTTGAGACTGTGAACAGTGGTCAATGTCACCCTAGGTTCCTATGGTGAAAGCCAGGCGGTGACAGTCCTTTTTGGGAGGACATTTCAGAGAGTGATATGGCTAGCTGAGGCACCGTCCTAGTATAAAGGAGAATCTTAGTGTATTGTCCTTCGTAGAATGAAGACAGTTATAATGCCTTCGAGAGTCCCGGAGTGAATGGTGGTAAATGATCCCTATTCATCTGCTCAGCGAATAAGGGACGCCTTGTTTGTCTAAGGAAGGAGCGTGCCCTTTCCTGCCACCAGGATCTGAGTGAATATCTTTTCTTCCTGCTTCAGGCAAAGGGACCAAGAGCGTTAACTCAGATTAAGCAGTTCCTGAAGAGTCACACAGGAAGAGATGGGGTGGTAAG